GATATATGGAAAATCCAACAGGCCGCAGTTTTGAATCATTAAATTGAAGGGGATAAAAGAAGATGCATGTCTTAACTTACCCCCTCTTTTCTCATGATTTCCAGTTAACTCGTTAAAATCACCTATTAAAAACCAAGGTGTATCCCGATTAAGGCCGATCCGTGTTAACCGTTCCTAAACTTGGTCTCTATTTTTCGGAACCGGATCACCATAAACAAAAGTGAGATGAATTGTTTTTCCTTTCACCACAGCCTCAACATCAATTAAACGATTATTTTCAAAAATAATTGATACATTAAAAAGATGTATAAAAAGATTCCAACTTGTTGGTATAAAAAGATGTGTTTTAGTCAGTGTTCTAAAAAGCGGTCTAGGCGGTCGCCTAGGCCCCGACTAGGCGCTAGGCTCTCATGCGACACCTAGATAACCGCTTTGACCGCCTAAAATTACATAGAACTTGTTTAATGTATTTTTTCAATTTCAATTAGAGTTTTATTTATATATATAGTTATAAATATTCATATATTGTTTAATATAAATATAAATAAATGTTTTATTTAGTTTTTGTTTATAATTTCATAATTTTTAGTTTTATATAAATATTTTATATAACTTTTATATATAATATCATATTTATAATGTTTTATGTTATAAACGTCTAAACCGCCTAAAAAATCGCCTAGGCTCCGATTAGGCGTTCTAGGCGCTAGGCACTGGGTCACCGCCCGCTTAGCGCCTAGCGCTTTCTTGAACACTGGTTTTAGTACGTCAACATAAAAACAAAATCCCGTAAGTTTTACATTTTCATAATATTGTTAGAATATATATTGATTATATTGATTCAAGAGAAACTATCTAGTAACTGTAGACCGTTAATCTTTCCAGGGGCTAATTAATCAAACTAGTGAAATTGGCATCAACTTGATAATTTTACGTTATCTAAAATCATAAAGTCATTTTCGTCAGTTTGTCGTGGAGATTATTATTATAAAGATTCTTCAAAATGAACCAAGCCGCCTAACTAGACTGGACATTCTCTTATTTTCAACTTGGACTTTATGAATTTGATTATATATCAACTAGATTGGGGAATGTTATTTGCTGATATATCAAAATTAAGTCTCAGCTGCTTAAATTAAGTAACACTCGTACTTTCACATGCATTAAAAATTATGTCTTTGTTTCCTTACAAATATTTGCTGATAATGATATATATAAATGTCTTTCATTCTTTATTTTGTCTTTATATTTATCCAATAATCTACTTGCATAAACAAAATTTGGAGAGAAAACAAAACATCAGACGTTTTTCTGCATTATACAAATGGCATTAGTTTGACATTTATTTATAAATAAACAGAACCAAAAAACATATGTTCAACAATTTCATTTAAGACCAAAAGTAAATGAGTGTTGTGTTTAGTCAAAGAGTAAATTAGATTTAGTTTGACACTCCCATTAGTTACAGACTCTGTCAGTTACAACAAGATTAAACTTTTTAGGTGAAGTCTTCTTCTTCTTCTTCACTCTTTTTATTAGTTTCCTAACAAAACCAAAAAAAGTCTTCACCTTTGCCCTTAAAAAAAAAAAAAAAAAAAAGTCTTTCACATTGTTTTGTCTTCGTCGGTCGTCACTTTTGCTAGCTAATAAAAGCCAGAATAAATAATTGGATTAAATCTTTTTTTTTTTCTTACTGTTTATTAATATTATTATTGGAACACAGCTACAAGGGTAAAGCTTCAATCTTTCCCACTCACATTCATTTCTGGTCTTTGATTGCTTTTCTTTTCACTGCTTAGGTTCTTTGTCTGTTAGGTTAGAGAGATCTTTTACAAAAAGATCCAAAGCTGGAAACTTTCTAGTCAATGCTGCTTAAGATCTGACTTTTTCCCTTCAATGTCGCTCTGAAATCCCCCAAATTTTTGGCCCATCAGGTTGGTTCTTCTCTCACTTATGAACCCTAGTTCTAATTTTAAGAGTTCAATTCTTGAGTTTCTCAAAACTCTGTTTTTTGGTGTTGTTTGATTTGTGTTTATCAGACAATGCGACGGATTTATTAGTTTCTGAATAGTTTCTATTGTCGGTAGAGATTTATCTAGATTAGCTTCTGTTTTTTTCTTCTTTTTCTTCACCTGTAGTTGTCTTTCCAGCTTAGTGTTTAGCTGGCGTTTGGTCTGAGAACTGGATAATCTGGCAGCTGGCAATTCTTGGGACTTAGGTACAATGTTGGTTTTGTTGAATCTGATTTTTCTTAGTCTTTGTTCAATTTCTTGTCTTTTTCCTTGTTCCTTTCCAGTTTTGACTTCCTTAAAGAGAGGCTATGTGCATTTTCTTTGTGGGTTTGGTTAGATTTCTATGTCTGAGTAGCTCAAATCTGATATTTGCTATAAGCTTTTCTGGGGTTTGATTACTTTGATTCAGGTCTATAAATGGTTCTTTTGATTGCCTCATTTTTGTATAAGCAGCTAAATTTTGGTTTATACAAGAGTTTTGAGTTTTAAATTCTTCGGTTTTTCCTCCTCTATTTCAGGTGAATAAAGCGGAGGTCAGAAGATGGGTTCTGGTTTAAACGACACATTATCTCGGAACTACAATGGTTTGGAGCTATGGGAGATAATAGTGATCGTTCTCTCCGCGATATTCGTTGTAGTTTTAGCTATATCGCTTTGGCTTACTTTCAGGAGAAAAACCTCTAGATCTTCTACTAAACTAATCCCTGTTAGTCGCCAGATTCCTCCTACTGTTCCTGAAGAAATAAAAGAGATAAGAGTTGACGAGGTTTCTTCGAGCAATGGTGGCAATGGATATCCCTCTATTAGTGAGAAATTTGGCGATAAAGAACCTGAAAAGGGGATAAAAGCAGAGTCAGAAAATGGCGATAGTAGCCGGTCTGGCTCGTTTAATCACTTGGAGAAAAAAGATGGATCAAGCGTATCTTCTGCTAATCCTTTGACAGCTCCATCTCCTTTGTCTGGTCTTCCTGAGTTTTCTCACCTCGGATGGGGACATTGGTTCACTCTTAGAGATCTTCAGATGGCTACTAATCAGTTTTCGAGGGATAATATCATCGGTGATGGTGGATATGGAGTTGTTTACCGTGGTAACCTTGTTAATGGTACTCCTGTTGCTGTTAAAAAGTTGCTCAACAATTTGTAAGTCTTTCACAAATGGTGAATCAAGATTCAAGATTTCATTTCTTGAATCTTTTTTTTTTTAATGTTGATGTTTTGTATCTCTTAGAGGGCAAGCTGACAAAGACTTCAGAGTAGAAGTTGAAGCTATAGGTCATGTACGCCACAAAAACTTGGTCCGCCTTCTCGGATATTGCATGGAAGGAACACAGAGGTATGTCTGTTTTGTTGTGAATGATCTACAGATTTTCTTCTGATATTTTCACTAAACATCAAATGTGGTAACACATAATTAGGATGCTGGTGTATGAGTATGTTAACAATGGAAATTTGGAGCAATGGCTCCGTGGAGACAATCAAAACCATGAGTATCTTACATGGGAGGCGCGAGTAAAAATTCTTATTGGAACAGCCAAAGCGTAAGTCGTGTGACGGCTTATCTTTTATTTTGTTCTTGACTATGTTTTTTCGTTATTCTCATCTGAGGCAATGAGCGCTGATGCAGGCTCGCGTACCTTCACGAGGCGATTGAGCCAAAAGTGGTGCACAGAGACATTAAGTCTAGCAACATTCTGATTGATGACAAATTCAATTCTAAAATTTCTGACTTTGGACTTGCTAAACTACTTGGCGCTGATAAGAGTTTTATAACTACTAGAGTTATGGGTACCTTTGGGTAAGTTGTGGCATCTCTCTCTTTACATCATTTCACATAAAACTTTGGAAGACTTAAATGTTGTTGGTCTTGGAAAATAACTTACCTTTGTTTTTGGCAGTTATGTAGCTCCAGAGTATGCGAATTCCGGTCTTCTGAATGAGAAAAGTGATGTCTACAGCTTCGGGGTTGTACTCTTGGAAGCTATAACTGGTAGATATCCGGTAGACTATGCTCGTCCACCACCTGAGGTAAAGTTTTTCGTAAGAACCTTCAAAACACACATAAACTCTGCTGCCTCAAGAGTCTCCTGACGTTTCTTCTTTTTCATTTTGTAGGTACATTTGGTGGAGTGGCTGAAGATGATGGTCCAACAAAGACGATCAGAAGAAGTGATTGATCCAAACCTTGAAACAAAACCATCTACAAGTGCTTTAAAAAGAACACTATTGACTGCTTTGAGATGTGTTGATCCAATGTCTGAGAAACGACCGAGGATGAGCCAAGTTGCCCGTATGCTTGAATCCGAAGAATACCCAATACCTAGAGAGGTATGGACAAGGAAAAACATCACAACTTTGAAAAGTGCTTATTATGTCTATAATAAACCAAATAGATCTTTTTGTTGAGTTTGGTGCTGAAAGCTTTTACAAAATTTGAGGATTTCAGGATAGGAGAAGACGAAGGGGTCAGAACGGGACAACAAAAGATTCAGATCCTCCTAGGAACAGCACAGACACTGACAAGAGTGAGTACCATGACCTAAAGCCTGAAGGTGGATAGCCACTGGAAATAATCGAGGTGTAAATTGTCGTAAAGTCTCGAGCTTTATGTGAAGTTTTTCAAGTCCTTGGTTCTTCTCCAGATCTTCTGCGTTATGTGATGTTTCTTTTCTTTTGTAATAAGGAGAGAGAGAGAGAGTGAGTGAGTGTTCATCGTTTGTTGCTTGTATAGTATTTGTTTGTTGTATTATGCTTCTCCACGTTTTGCAATGTAGGTTGCTTTTGGACCAAGTAAACGCAATTTGCAGGTTTTGTAGGGTATGTATGTTAAGTCTTTGAGAGAAACGACGTGTAGTTTGCAATTTGCTTGTGGGAGATATTGTTATCTGAGACTGTTACACTGGTCTTTGAAGGCTCACCAACTTAACTCTAATAATCGACTATACAAAAGTTGGATAATTCTCTCCAGAGAGTGACACTGTTGCTTTGTTTGCATTGAGATCCTCTTGAAAAGCTTCAGATCAAATGGCATAACTAAACTAGCTAAGCAGAAACCGATGTTTGGACTGGTTTCCTCTGGTTTTCCATTTTCTATTCTCTGCCAAACTCGTCTCCATCTTGATAATACGTGTCTCCAGCTCCAATGCTATCTTCTCTATTGCAAGCTTTCTCTGCCTCAATCTTTCATCAACATCTTCTTCCTTTTTAGCTTCACTGGAAAACTTTCCAATGCATCTCTTCTTCATTTCTCTATCTTCACGTAGCCAAGACTCTGCTTCCTTGATTGCATCATCGATCATTGCCTTCCTCTCTCCATAACTTCCATTTACATAATCACATGTTTGCCTTGTAATCTCAGTTTTATTGGCAGTTCCATCATCCTCTACACTCCTTTGATCTACTTCCATCCAAGCATGCTTTTCACAAGACCCTGAATCATCATCGCTATCCACCACCATATATCTTCTAGTTCTTTTTCTAAGTGATTCAGAAGCATCACCTCCAGTTTTCTCTACATCACTACACTTCTTCCTAGATCTGATCAATTGAGGAACGGTCATGTAATCATCTTCTTCATCCATAGAACTCTCATCATCATCCTCACGAGCTCGCGTCATGTGCACAGACTCACTTATCTTATATCTCTTTGGTAACCTACGCATCCTAGATCTTCTGCATTTTGCAGGAAAGCCTTCTTCCAACTTCTGAACCACTTGACTCAGAGGCAATACCTTGGGAGATACATCTATATCATCATCATCAACAACATCAAATGTATTACTTGCATTAAAAGCTTCAGTTGATTCTTCCTGCATCTCTTCAGAAGCTAGAGAGTCTGAAACTGATTTCAACCACCAGTCTTGGTACCTCGCAGTGACAGAACCTCGATCGAGGCGTGAAGGCATATAGAGCACTAAACCATCAAGAGACTTACTGTAATCATCCCAAGACTCCTTTTCTGTGAAGTTTTTATGAAGAGTAATCAGACCAGGCAGATCTTGAGCCAGCCCGAATTGCATTGCAACACGATTAGGATAGTAATCCTCTACAAAATCAATCCCAACAAGCTGAGAACTCCTCAGGCATCGAGCAAATGAAACAAACTCATCTTCAAGATTGTCATCAACAGTCACCAACAGTGCTTCTTCAAGGTAAAACCGAAGTGGGTTCCAGTTCTTCAACGGTTTAGTGTAAGGACGCCAGTCAAAATCATCAAAACTCCATCTCACATTCTTAGACCTTTGTTGCAGATTGCTCCACCTAGCTATTCTAGGCTCACCTTGAGGTATCTCTCTAACTTCTGGTCTTATGTTCCTGAATCTCTCCCATGTCCAAACTTGTACTAACTTAAACAGAGACTTGGAATTAAGTTTGCCAGCATATGTTCCTCTAGCGAAATCGCAGACTTGACCCAAATCTTTGTACAAGAATGCGAGAACAGCAGGGGCAAGAGCAATCCTTTCACCTCTAGCTAAACGAACAGCGATTGGGATAACTTGTCTCGAAATACTACGACGAGTACTAACTGGAAAAACAAAAAGCGAAAGCCACAATACAAGAAAAGCTTCATGCTCCATCTGAGGCACCTCTACCAAAGAAGCTCGAAGTCCATGATCTTTGGTTCACTCGCCCAGCGTAACCAATACTCTTTACTCTTGTTTTCTCGAGTTTATATGCGGAATCTCTCATCTCTGAGCATTCCAAAGGAGCAAAAACAGGAGAAACCAAAACAGAAAACCCTAGAAGCACCAGTACATCTTCTAACGTAATCGTTGCTTCACCCGTCGTTGATCTTCACGACGGGGCCATCGATGGAAGTAGAAAGAAATTGGGTTTTTCTCAAGCAATGGTGTTGGAATTGTATCCTTGATTGAACTTGCAAAAGAGAAGAAGAAGCTTCAGAAGATGAAGAAGCAAAGCAAAGAAGAAGCAAGTGAAGAAGAAGAAGATGTCGTGACAGAGAGGTCAACGACAAAGGAGAAGAAAGACAGAGTCAACAAGGAAGAAGAAGTTGGGCTTGTGGTTTTTGGAGTGTTGTAATGGGCCTACGAAATAAGTAAGGCCCAGTAAAAAGAAAGTTGTTTTTGGTTAAAGTCTAAGTAGTAGCTAGGTGTCTTAAGAGAGTGAATTGAGGGAATTAGAGAGTTAGTAACTAGGAGTGTGGTCTAGTGTGTAAGAGTTATGATGATCTAAAGTATGGTCTAAGTGCAAGTGGTAAGTAGAGAAACCACTATATGTATGTGTATGTGTGTTTTGTAAGAAGTGAATCCAAGTTAATACAATGTAGACAATTAAAGTAAAATGTGTTCTTGTTTTCTCTCTAGAACAAGTGAACACAAACGAGTAAGAAAGTGTGAAAGATAGAGAAATTGTGAGAATTACAACAAATGGCCTTTCTCATCAACCATCACTTCTTCTCTCTCTTCTGTTAGTGGTGAGGGTAATGCATTCTTCATCGTTGGCGAAAAAGCAAAAGATTCAGGCGAAAAACTAGGGATTGTGACGGATGAATTGCGATGTACGGAAAAAGAAAGATGCAGTTTTCCGTTCAAAATGGGCAGAGAGACAAAAAAAACAGTTGCTTTAAACGAGCAAGTCCTCACTAATTTCAAATGCTGACTGTACATCAATTTTTTCATACCTTATCATTTGAAACAGTAACCAAACTCTCAAATGGTTAAAAGTATTTTTACTCATAATTTGTAGTTGTAAAGATCTTGAAATACTTAGTAATAAGAAGATAGATTTGGTTTTCACATAGTTAGGAGATTAGTCCAAACTTAACAAAAAACATAAATATAAAAAATTTCGTTTCAATCTTAAGTCTAACCAATAGGGACAAAACAGAAAATGTTACACAAGTTTTTGCATAGGATATACAAAATTTTCTACTTAATGAAACAAATTTATTTTCTAAAACATCTACTTTGTAAAAATGGAGGGAGTACATTTATGGAGCTAAATAGGACACCCACAAATGTAGGTTGTTTTTGGCCCAAGAAAACGCTTTTGCAAGTTTTGTAGGCTATTACGTATGTGGAAGATATTGTTACCTTAAACACAAGTCTTTGAAGACTGACCAACTTAACTTTAATAATCGACTACACAAAAGTTGAACAATTCTCTCCAGAGAATGACACTCTTGTTTTGTTTCCATTGAGATCCTCATGAGAAGTTTCAGATCAAATGGCATAACTAAACTAGCTCAGCAGAAATCTAGGTTTGGACTGGTTTCCTCTGGTTTTCCATTTTCTAATCTCTGCCAAACTCTTCTCCATCTTGATAATACGTGTCTCCAGCTCCAATGCTATCTTATCTATTGCAAGCTTTCTCTGCCTTAATCTTTCGTCAATATCATCTTCCTTTTTAACTTCACTGCAAAACTTTCCGATGCATCTCTTCTTCATTTCTCTATCTTCATGTAGCCAAGACTCTTCTTCCTTGGTTGCATCATCGATCATAGTCTTCTTTTTACTTCCGTTTATAGCATCACATGTTTGCCTTGTATTCTCTGTTTTTTTAGCAGTTCCATCATCCTCTACACTCCTTTGCTCTACTTCCATCGAAGCATGCTTTTGACAAGGCCCTGAATCATCATCGCTAGCCACCAGCATATATCTTCTACCTCTTTTTCCAAGTATTTCAGAAGCATCACCTCCAGTTTTCTCTACATCACTAAACTTGTTCCTAGATCTGATCAATTGAGCAACGGTCATGCAATCATCTTCTTTATCCGTAGAACTCTCATAATCATCCTCACGAGCTCGCTTCATCTGCAGAGACTCAGATATCTTATATCTCTTTGGTAACCTATGCTTCCTCGATCTTCTGCGTTTTGCAGGAAATCCTTTTTCCAACTTCTGAACTACTTGACTCAAAGGAAGTACCTTGGGAGATACATGAATATCACCATCATCACCATCTTTACCAAGATGATCAAATGTATTCCTTGCATCAGAAGCTTCAGTCGATTCTTTCTGCATCTCTTCAGAACCAAGAAAGTCTGAAACTGATTTCAACCACCAGTCTTGGTATCTGGCTGTCACAGAACCTCGATCAAGTCGTGAAGGCATGTAGAGCTTTAGACCATCAACAGACTTACTGTAATCATCCCAAGCCTCCTTTTCTGTGAATTTTCTACGACGAGTAACCAAACCAGGAAGATCTTGAGCCAAACCAAACTGCCTCGCCACTCGATGCGGGAAGTAAGCCTCTACAAAACCTTTTCCAGCAAGGTATGAAACTTTCACACATCGAGCAAAAGAAGCAAATTCATCATCAACATTGTCATCAACAGTCACCCACATAGCTTCTTCAACGTAAAACCGAAGTGGGTTCCAGTTCTTCAACGGTTTAGTGTAAGGACGCCAGTCAAAATCATCAAAATACAATCTCACATTCTTAGATCTTTGTATGAGACTGTCCCACTGAGCTATTCTTGGTTCACCTACGGGTATATCTTTAGGTTTTGGTCCGATGTTCCTGAATCTCTCCCATGTCCAAACTTGTACTAACTTAAACAAAGACTTCAAACTAACTTTCCCAGCACATTTTCCTCTAGCGATTCGACCCAAATCTTTGTATAGGAATGCGAGAACAGTAGGCGCAAGAGCAATCCTTTCACCGCTAGCTAAACGAACAGCGATAGGGATTACATTTCTAGATATAGAACGACAGCAGTCACCTGGAAAAACAAAAAGTGAAAGCCACAATACAAGAAAAGCTTCATGCTCCATCTGACCACCTCTACCCATGAAGCTTGAAGTCCATGATCTTTGGCTCACTCGCTTAGCCTTGCCAACACTGTCTCGTCTTACTTTCTCCAGTTTCTCTGCGGAAGCTCTCATCTCTGAGCATTCTAAAGGAGCAAAAACAGGAGAACCCAAAACAGAGAACCCTAGAAGCACCATTACATCCTCTAACGTGATAGTTACTTCACCCCATGAAAAGACGAAAGATTTGGTTTCAGAACACCATTTCTCAGCAACTGAGAGAATCAAAGACGGGTCTTTTGTGATTTTGTAAGTGGATGCTTTGATTGCCTCAAAAATCCCAGCTTTTTTCCAAATGGGTTCATGTAAAGCTTCCATTTTTCCAAGCCAAGATAGGAAGAAATGATGATCTGCAACCCAAAACCCAGAGGAGGAATCACTCAAACAAGAATCAGAGAGACGTTGTTGATCTTCACGACGGGGAAGCTCGGCTACAGAGCCGTTAATGGTTTTAGAAAATGGGTTTTTCTCAAGGAACGGCCTTCCTCAGAAACCATAGCTTCTCCTCTCTCTTCAATGAGAAGTTTCTCAGTGAGTGATAATGGTGATGCTTTCTCCATCTCTCAAGACGAAGGAGATGTATCAACAAATTCAGTCAAAAGTAGGGATTTTGACGGGTCAATGGCGAAAGGAAGATGCAAGTTTTGGTTGAAAATGGGCAGAGAAAAATGTTAACGGAACAAAGCGAACAGTTGCTTTATATGGCAACCTAGCAAGTTAATAACTCACTAAATTAAAATGACAACTCTTCATCAATAAGATTTAACGAAAATATATTCTCTCAATTTTTTTTTTTTTTTAACATCTATATTTATTCTCTCAATTTTTTAAAGAATTTTGCTTACTTTTTAAAAACTAAAACATAATTTCTGATCCACCTCAACATTCAACCAATAGTAAATTACAATAAATAAAAAATAATTAATTTTACATTGAAAGTCCAAAACATCAAAAAAAAAACATCAGTCTCATTTTAGATTATTAATTACATTGAAAGTCGAAAACATCAAAAAAAAACATCAGTCTCATACACCGGATATTTCATATTTAATAATTTAGATATTTAAAAGATTTGATTAAGATTTTAGAATTATGATTACCCTATCATCTTTGTTTGATTTGTTTTTAACTGTTTTGAATCATCATATAATACATAAAGTAAAAAAACAAATCAATTTTTTTCTGCATATACGGTGATTCGAAATTTTTAAAACGGAAATATATTATCCAATTGAAGAAAATGTGGGTTCAACGTTCTACATCGATTAAAATATTTAGACAATATATGATTCTGAATCATATCATAAATAAGATCAACATTAATAAAATAAATGAGTTTTTTGGCCGGACGGGTTTATGCGGGATGGGTTTTTGAATAAACAATAATAAAAAGATTTAAATATCATTAATTAGCCACTTCAATACGGATTAAATCCTTAATTTTTTTTAATACCATCAATATTAGACATATTAAATGAATCTCATTTAGAAAAAATTGTATAAAACCAAAAATTGTCCCGTGGTATAATGTTACTTTATAACAATTGTAAACTATAAAATATAAATATCTTAGAAAATGATACAATTTGCAAACTTTTATATATAATAAATAATCGTTATAATTTAAAAATTACTACTTTTAGAAAACAAATCACGGGACGGGTTAAGAAGTTACAGGACGGATTCTATTTCGGAACGAAGTTATATGGTGGACGAGTTAGAATCAATATTTATAAAATTTTAAAATATCATTAACATGCCGCTTTAATACAAATTAAATCTTCAGTTTATTAAAATATAAATGACTTAGAGAATGATATGATTTGTAAACTTTTATATATAATAAATAATCATTAAATTTTATAATTAAAACAAAATACGGGACGGCTTAAGAAATTACGGAACGGATTATATTTCGGAACGGATTTATATGGCAGACGAATTTGAATCAATATTTATAAATATCATTAACATACCGCTTTAATATGGGTTAAATCTTCAGTTTATTAACAATTATCTCGTGGACTCGTGGTATACCGTTATTTAATAACAATTGTAAAATATAATATAAATAAATATTTTATAAAGAGATATAATTTACAAAATATTTTTATACTAATTTTAAAAATATATTATCCGGCGGTGTACTGCGGGTTAAAATCTAGTATATGTATATAGCTATAAATAATAATTATCTGAAATTGCTATATGTGTTATTAAAATCAAAAATTGTTATATGTTTATTGTATTTAATTTTGATTGGTCGAACTTAAATTCCATAATTAAAAGATATTAAAATGGATAGAGATTCAGATCTGATAACTGAAGAAGAAGAGTATAAAACTCGTTAAACAAACTTCGCCGACGGTTATTCAATCCTCCTCCTACACGTCTCTCTCTCATTCCCTCCGGAGTCACAATGACGAAAATGCCCCTCTCCGTCGTCTTCATCCTCCTCTTCCTCGCCGTCGTGGTTCCACCTTCAATGGCGGAGATCAAATCCCTGGTCATCTCCGACGACGCTCGTCCGATGATCCTCTTCGAGAAATTCGGATTCACACACACCGGCCACGTCACGGTCTCAATCTCCTCCGTCTCCGTCGTCTCCACTTCCTCAGATCCAAATCCAGAAGCGTCGCGTCTCGGGTTCTTCCTCCTCTCGGAAGAATCTCTTCTCCAGGTCCTCCTCGAGATCCAACAGAACCCTAGATTCTGCGTTCTAGATTCGCACTACGTCACTCATCTCTTCACATTCAGAGATCTATCTCCTCCGCCAAACTCCAGATTCAACCAATCTTACCCAGTCACTTCCCCAAACGAATACTCTCTCTTCTTCGCGAATTGCGTCCCTGAAACCAAAGTTTCCATGGCGGTCCGCACAGAGATGTATAACAAAGATCCAAACGGATCTAAAGACTATCTACCAGCTGGATCTACTCAATTACCAACTCTCTACTCCTTCTTCTTCCTCTGCTACGTTGCTTTCCTCGGTTTCTGGAGCTACACTTGCTGGACTAACAAACAAACCGTTCATCGGATCCATCTTCTCATGGCAGGTCTGCTTCTAATCAAATCATTGAATCTGATTTGTGCAGCTGAAGATAAACATTACGTGAAGATCACTGGAACGCCTCATGGCTGGGACATTCTCTTCTACATCTTCCAATTCATCCGTGTTGTTCTTCTCTTCACCGTGATCATCTTGATCGGAACTGGCTGGTCGTTTTTGAAACCTTTCTTGCAGGAGAAAGAGAAGAATGTGTTGATCATTGTGATCCCACTTCAGGTATTAGCCAACATTGCTTCCATTGTCATTGGTGAAACTGGACCTTTTATCAAAGATTGGGTTACTTGGAACCAAGTGTTTTTGCTTGTGGATATCATCTGTTGCTGTGCTATTATCTTCCCGATTGTCTGGTCGATTCGATCCTTGAGAGAGACCTCGAAAACCGATGGTAAAGCTGCGAGGAACTTGTCGAAGCTCACGTTGTTTAGACAGTTCTACATTGTTGTCATCGGATATCTTTACTTCACTAGAATCGTGGTGTTTGCGCTTAAAACCATTGCGGCTTATAAGTACCAGTGGGTGAGTTTTGCAGCGGAGGAGATTGTGAGTTTGGTGTTCTATGTGATCATGTTTCACATGTTTAGGCCTGAGGAGAAGAATGAGTACTTTGCTGTTGATGATGATGAAGAAGAAGCTGCTGCTTTGGCTCTTAGGGACGAAGAATTTGAGCTTTGAAAAGCATAAACATGGAGGAATTTTTCTTGGTAAGCAAGGATTTTTTCTTTTTTTTTTTCAGTATGTCTATGTTAAAGTCGTCTAATACTGCAACTGTTATTGTTCCCTTTTTTGTTAATTTTTGTTCTTCTTTACATTTAAATTTTCTTTGTTATCAACACTTTTTATGGCTTTAAATCGATGTGGATTTTGGGGCTGTAGCAAATTTTATTTGAAAGAGTATACTATCATCATTTTCATGTGCTTCACAATTTGTCTACATTTGTGCTCATTCCAATGCATATTCTTTCTGAAACACTATTTCACCTCCTGCATCCACAATTCAAATAAATAGACCGACTATACCAAAATTAAAGTGGTTATCCAATGTCCAAACGAAAAGAAAATAAAAATACATCAATCATTGCTCATTACTCATTAGCCCATTAACAAATCATTCCTCTTTGTCTCCATTACAATCGTATCAGTGATCGTGCTTGGCACTATCCATATTCCAAAACACAAAATTAAAAGACAAAAATTACACACGCGGCAGTAAAATTTGTAAGAAAACAATTATATGGAGTATATAGTTTGTACATAATTTTCAACAACAGATTCTCAAGTAACCATCATGTGCTCCAACGATGAACAATCTCGAGAATGGTAAAACACAAATGGTTGATAAATCCGACTTGACTCTTCCTCCCTTCTCTGCCATATACAGTTTCTGTGGTATAATCCGCTGCTGCTGCCGTTGCTCCTCCTGTCAGTTGAACAAAATCGGTCATTCTCATACTTGACCTTGTTTCATGACGATTCTGTGCATAACAGACTGAAAACCTTGGTTCAGTGATCTAATTCTAATCTTAGTTTAGGATTATAGCCAAAGTGATCAAGGCGCTTATGTTTCAACTCATCACGTGAATCTCAGTTAGGAGTGAGAAACTACCTCGTCTTGAAAATTTGACAGTGAGCAAATCCCGATGTTATTTCTTGAGATAGAGATAACGTCCTTGCCCCAGATGGAGAAACCGGAAACACCGTCGTTGTGTCCTTTGACAACAAAAGGCTGTGGTGTCCAGCTCCTGTTTTACCAGAAAGATAATAAACCACATGTAGGGACCGTGGAAAACAAAAACAAAAACTTAAAAGAAAAGGGGAAACCGTAATGATTGTTTTGCTCACTTCCTTAAGTCCCAGATCCGTAAAGTTTTGTCAAGAGAGCTGGAAACAAGTAAATGCCGCTCAGGTGCCGCTAACTGCAAGAAAATCGAAATTTGAAGATAAGAAGAAAGGCCATATTGGTTTTGGGAGGGCAAAAAAGCTCAATTAACCTTTGTCACGTATCCGTCGTGAGCTCTCCAGGAGGAAATAACACCATTTTCCCTCAAGTCAAATAGCCTACACTGGCCAGAACTAAAACCAGCTGCAATCCAAGAAGGTGATACTGAAGCTCCGTCTCCATGTTTTGTTTGAGACCCTCCTGAACAAAGAGCAGATACGAGAGAAGTGAATCCAGATTCAATAGGTTCTCCTCCCCAAATTTGAAGCTTCTGGCCTCGTGCTAGATCGATAAACCTGAATTGTGCAGTGGAATTGACCAAAATAGTTGCATATTATCTCTAATGCTCAATTGTTTTGATTTTTTTAGTGTAATGGATACAGAATAATTAGGTGCATACTTCCTATTTTATGGAAAAGAGAATAATTATGCGCTTATCGTAAGAAAGCTATAATAATACAAGGAACCAACCTCTTCATGTGCATGATAACTAGATACACAACTTAAGCTTGCTAGTTCCCACTTCTGAACACTTCCCTTAAACCCTGGATCAATTCCTGAAGCGAAAACTGTACACTCATCTTCAGAAACCACTAAAGATCTTAGAGCTCCGTGATAGGCACGCGCAGAAGACAAAACAGATGCTCTAATTTTCCATCGATGCTCATCTTTGGGGTTTCCAAAACGCCCAATGTCAATCCCATCCCAACAAGCTACTGGACTAGGAAACCATGACCAGGGTTCATGCACCAAAGGGTTTAGGACTGCTTCTTGTCCTTCAACTGGGACATGTATATGAGGTTTTAAGTGATTGGAATTTCTTAACCCCTGCAACTGGGGAACCGACCGTCCAGATCCATTGAGCAACATCTTAGGAGTGTGCTTAGATGTAGGGCCCTTGTTTAACACAGGCCTAGCTTCCATACTGTATCTAGAAGATCGACCTGTGTATTCCCACTGAATCACAATAGATTCAGTGACACATGTCTATAGCTCTATGGAATTCTGTATATTAGATAATAGATATTATAGAAACAGAAACCCAGAGTTCTATATATGACAGGATACCTTCCAGTTATGATGCTTTAGCAGATATTGCTCCAGGAGTAGCCAGGTTGGACAATTCTGGCGTAATTTCTCCATACCAAGAAGTGACGCAAAAGAAGGATAGAGAAGCAACCTGTAATTCCTATAACGTTAGGACATAAACGGAATCATACAAAAAAGTTATAAACTGATGATTCAGGTGAAATACGCACACAAGATCCATACGGTTTTTGATTGGAGATTCTGGATGGAAATTTTGTTCGGCAGTCCTGATCTTCCAGCTTAAAGAGTCAGATGCATCTGCACTTTTCTCAGAGAAAGCAAACTCATCAAAAAGCTCCTTTAACTGCGGAAGAACATGCAATGCAGTCATCTCTTGTCCAATCCGCTGGCAAATTGACATCAGGGAAGTTGCAGCAAACTGGAAAATTGGAGAAAGCAACATTTAAAAAGAAAATCAAATGTTAAAAAGGCTTTCCATGCTTGCAATGAGCATTACGGAGGTGTGCCATGATGGATCCTCCTATAAATAAGGGATTGATGCATGTCTAATAATGGAAATACCAATAGAACATATTTCACAACAGAGCCCTTAAGATTAAGATAAATCTTCTTTTTTTTCGAGTCGATCTTTTTTCACCACTTACAGTGAGACACTCAATGACAACTTAAAACAGGTCGTACATCTTGATTATACATCATTATCCTTCCCTCAAAGTTACTGGTAAATAAAAAGAAAAAGAAAATCAAGAATACCTGAAGGACCCGCAACTCCAGATTTTTCTGCATAAGAACTCTTACATGTAGGCACAACCTACCCTATGTGATGATAAGACAAACCACAACAACAGAACAAAAAATTTAGGGTTTAACGTAAAGCTAGTAAAGACAGACAGAGAAAATTCTAAAACATACTTTTGTCAGCTCATGTATGAGCAACTCGTCTGATATAAGAGCAACTAGACCATCGAGTGTGATTAGGCAATCAGTCAGCGCTAAAGAACACCAACTATGAACAGGCTCTGGTTTTTTCATAGAAGAAAGATCAATACAGAAGCAAACAACATTTTCAAGTAATGGCAGCATCTGTTTGACAATGAAGTTCACGCCCAACAGTCTCCCTGAAAAGTTAACAATACAACAATTATTTAGCTTGATATGAAATTTCCAGGTAAAGCTAAGTTGCATGAACCAACAGATAGGGTGTACCAATTCTAACCAGCACATCAATCCCATCAGTACATATTCCTTTTCCGAAGTAACTTATCAGAGGCAGTATAGTCTGTATTAAAGGACAAGTCAGCATCCAAATAAGAAATTTTAGAATCACTTAACATGCTCGATGAAAGGTATATAATTTATATATAAATGAGTGCAGGACCAGAACAGGAAATCATTTGTTGACCTGGTGTACTGTAACAGGGGCACCAAGCTCTTCGCTCGAACCAATCAAAAGCACAGAGGCTGCAGAAGCCGAGATTTTGTCCGGAGAATTATACAAGTTTGATATGACTAAAGGATGAATCATTTCAAGATATACTCTCTTTCCAATTTGATTCCATAATTCCCTCACAAACGAATCTTGAAGAAGAGAAACTTTCAAATGCGAGTAGCCTGTGGTCTAACATATGATACTCTGTCAGAAGACATTAATTGAGCTTAACAAGATGTTAATACTATTACCACACAGAAGTTTAGATTTACAAATTCCATCGGGAACCAAGCGTACCAGTAAGATCTTCTGGATAGAAGGCAAGACAAGTCTCTGCACAGCCATTGGTGTCAAAGATTTTGTGAATTCCTTGAGAACTACATAAGCCAATTCACACTCGTCGTCAGATAAAGGTGTTGTGACCAGTGGCAAACAGTACACAGCACACATCTCTGCCACAAATGTTCCCATTGCTTTCAGGACTCCCTGTTTGGCAAAACTTGCAGCATAACACAAGCGTGTTTGACCTTTGGCCAAAAGGTGAAGTGGAGCAGCAAACAAGTGAGCTGACCTCACTGTAGCTGAGAAATACGGAGAGTCCAAAAGACTCTTTGCTGAGGGCCTCCTGCATGTTTTGAAAGGAAGAGAGAGTAATTAGACATTCATACATCTAAAAAAACACTAATTAGACATTCATACATCTAAAAAAAACAGTAAACGTGTTACTACACGTTTTTTATCACACAGTTATAAACACAATGAAGTATCAAAGAAGACCAGGGTTTAACCCAAAAAGAGTGAGAAAAAAGTACCTTCTCCAATCTTGTTCAATACATGCTTCGACAAGTACCTGAGTAGGAGGAGGAAGTTCCTTGATCAATTCAGGTAAGTCACCACCTTCTAAATAATTAGCCAAAGACACTGAGTTGAATAGCGGCTTCATCAAATAAAGTTCTGCCAGGACACAGCCAATAGAAAAAATATCCCCTGCAATGTCCTTGGAAAAGTTTCCTGTGCAGAAATCTTGCCGCCATTGTAACAACTCCTGAAGTTCAGTCGATGCTTCGTCTCTCACCTCCATATGCTCCAAAAGATAATTCAAACTTATCCTTGATGATAAACCTTTGTTTTTTGAAGTTCCAGGGAGACTAGTATTTACTTTTTTAGTGTTTTCACTGTAAGATACATGCAAAGGAGACTCAACCAGGTTTTCATGAAGGTGATACTTTGGACTTAGATGTGCTGCATGATCAGAAAATGCAGATGCCTCTTCAGTTTCTTCCAGATAATCATCAGCTTGGAGAATGACGGACCTCTTGTTGTCCACACCAAAGCCATGAAATGTATGCATTTCTAGCTCATTTCTACTTTGTTCCTTCTCGCGGGAGAAACCAAGGCGCACCGGATGAGGCCGGAAAAAGAGTTGACGGCGTCCAACTGACCTCGGTACTGTGGGCTCTGATGAAGACAACATCACATTCTTTGCAGTAATAGCAGCCTCTCCTGACATTTTGTAACCAAAAATAATATCAATCCAGTGATGTATTAGAGATGAAACATGGGGGCTTTCCAGGGCATCTCGATGAAACCTAATGAACTCCTCGGGGCTGTTTGCCCATGGAGGTACAGCCAAATCAGACATACTAGGATGAAGGGAGCAAAAGATGCGGGGATCGCAGTAAAACTCAGGGATGCACTCGTCAGGGGTCCAATCATAGAGCCTTTGCATGTCAGAGGGATACTCATTAGGTTCATACACCGACCGAACTGCCTTTCGCAGGACACTCAGTGGCAGTCTCCTTGCTTTGTAGCTGCAAACAGCCAGCTCAGACAGACATTCATCTGAAACATGATGCGGAAATTCAAATGTCGAATAAGTGAAATCTAATTGTTCATCTCCTTTTGCCAATCTCCATTTGCTTTTTCTTAAATCACGCCATCCTGAGTTACTATCATTTTCAGGTTTCTTGCTGAAATCTATGACCCATGGCATCACCGGATGAAATGTGTGGTCCCCCCACCTCCGACCTGCTAGTTTGTTTAAGACGAGTAAATACTCAAAATTGCTTAGTTCTCCCCTCCACCAATTATCAAAGTGAGTCTGCCAGTCCAAATGTGAAGAAATTTTGAGATCAGCATAAAGGCCATACGAATAACAATCCTCAACACACCACCTTCTTCTTGAAGCAGATGAATCGGCATCTCCAGAACCTAAATCAGGCTTGCTATAGATCTTTAACCAACTCCATAATGAATCAGACAACAATATGCTTGACGGACAAATGTTCCCATGCGAAACCCTCAACCCATGCAAGTGAGCTAACCCAGACAATAGCTGATATATCATAAAATTCCTATGCCATTCTGACTTTATAGCACAGGGGCTGTAGTGAAGAATATTTTCCAATGTATACGGGGCTTTGGGGAGCACTGAGACCAAACAATCAGATGATGTCAGAAGTCCTAAGACCGGTGATAGATTTGGATGCCTAAAACATTGAAGCTTTCTTTTCTCCTCTGACAACGGTAACCCAAGAAGACGAAGGAAACTATGGGTTGCTTGTCCAGATGACTTTCCATCAATCAGGCGATGTAAAGAGGCTAAAATTTGATCTTCTGGACAATCATAAAGGAAACTAAAAGCAAGCTTTTGAAGTTCAGATGCAGAACATTTGCTAATCTGAGCAATTGGTAAAAGTGCAGCTATAGTTCTCCAACATGAAAAACTACCTGAATGCTTGCAAGTAACACTTCCACAAGTAATGTTCTCTGTGTCATCATCATCTTCAATAACCTGAGAGCCACTGGATGAACAATCCAAATACTCATCAGATTCAACAGCATCGTTTGAATTCCCACCCTCTCGATTCCCAACAACACATCTATCGCTGCAAAAAAAAGAAAAATCTGCTCAACCATAAATATTGATAGATTCAAGCCCAAGGAGAACATAAACGAGACCGTACACGTAGTTAGCTAAGCAACCATGTTCTTCTTTCCGGAGATACTCCAAAATGAACTGAGACGAAGTGGATTCACAAGAAGAAGAAGCAGAAAATTCCTCGCTAGAGTCAGAAACCTACACAAACACCATTCAAAGCAACTCTAATTCCAAATACTTCCACCATTAAAATCTACAATTCAAAAATATGACTAGTGAGAGAGAGACCTTAACGACGGCGGAAGATCCAAAAGGTAGCGGCGAATCGGAGACACCGTAAGCGAAGACGATCTGGTCGGAGAAGTCAGAGTTGATACGTTGATCGAGGCAATCGAAGCAAAGGTCACTTGCTTCACCTCTCATCCCTTCTTTCTTGGAGGAAGAGAGAGACGTCGAATGGATCCGATCAGCCTCGGCGACCTGAAAAACAAAAGGCACGGCCAAGAAACGCCGTGTTTTCTCCTGAACGACGTCGTTTCAGTTAGCCCATTATTAATGCTGCTTTATTTTGTTTGTATTTTACTATTTAAAAATTAAAACTTTTTTCTCGCAGAGAAAATTTCAAAAAAAAAAAAAAAAAATCAAGACGGCCGTCAAAGTTTCGGTGACGGAGAATATTTGCCGACGGGAATTGCAATGGGAGGAGGATCCATTGACGACGAGCTGACAGAAGATGAGAAGAGAGCTCTCAGAGGAAGCAAATTCGCTCCTCTTACTTCTCTTCCTTCGTCTTCTCGCTCTAAGCCTCCCAGGTTCTTTTTTTCATCACTCCTTAGGGTTTTTGTTTCCTTCTTCTCGATTTGAAATTCTGATGTTATGTATATAGATTGGCTCATCCAGGTGGGCCCTTGAAGACGAACAAAGCGGCGGCTTTAGCCAAGTTTCTAGAGAGGAAGCTGCAAGATCCTAATGGGTTAGCTTCCATTGATCCAGCTCTTGTCGAATTGGCCGTCAAAAACGCTAAAGACACTGTTATTTCGAGTGAGTACTTTATAATACACGATTCCTTGATAAATGTTTGGCCTAAAGGTTTGGAATTTGGAATAGGAATGAAAAGGGATTTGTTTGTTTGAGAGGCTTAGGCATTTGAAAGATGGCAATTGCATTGTCCTGTGACATCTCTTGTGGGTATGAGGCTTTTCGTGTTTGCAAATTATAGTCATGGGTTGATAGCTCAGCATTAGCTGAGAGCTGAGGTGCTACGCTAAATTTGTTGAGGCATTGATAAGGTGTGCTTGTTAAGTCCAAATGCAGGACTATTGTAACTTGCCTACGGATGGTGCAAGGAAGTTTAGTTTTGCGTTATCTGTTAGTTGAGAACTGAAGGTTTAAAGGGGAGCTAGAGGAATGAGTTGCGGTGATTTAGGATTTTGGTTTGGTTATTTGTTTCAGTTAGTCTTCTGTAATTGATTCAGAGAGTGAATAAAGAGTGAATCACACCTGGTTCGTATCCTGGATTTTCAAGTATTTTGATTGGGCACTAGGGTTGAGAGCTAGGGACAAGTTCTTCTGAAATTGTAGCTGCTCAGTTCAAGTTAAGGAATACAGAAGAACCTATAACAAACGGTTAACTTTCAGCTTTAATGGTGGAGGAGAACTATGAAAAGTGGGATACGTCAGTAGAAACAATGAGTAGCATCAAACATGAGACCTTATAAGTTTGGCCAGAAGTTCGCGTAGAACTTTTTTCAAAGATCATGATAGTGCAGGAGATGTATATGGCATTGGAATTTCACTACATCATTGCCAATGAAGATTGTGCATTGATGCATTCCATGGGTTTACTAAGTTTAAAATTAGCTTCAAGAGAGTTTGGAAAGCATATGTAGCATTCGTTAAATGTAAATACATAGTGACTATTTGCCCGAAACTTTTTCACACTATAAGTTCATTGTAATTGTCGACTACGTTTAGCTCACTTCAAAGTTTAGAATAATCATGTTATTCCTATATGGTCGGTGAAAGCAACATACCACACTGACATGGAGAGACTTGCTTTTATCTGAGCCAATCCATATGTACAAAAAAAATTCTGTATCCGTTATGTTATTGAGGAATATATATGGTTTCATGATATTTTCCTTAAGCTTTGGGGTATGAATGTGAAGGCGTAATCTGTATGATACTCTACTGGTCTCAGGTGGGGCTTCGAGTTCAGGAAGGAGAATCCAACACGTTGCTTCATTCGAAGACGTCGAGGTATCTAATTCTCTGTACTCTCTTTCATTCTATCTGGACAGGGAATAAAACTTGTAGAATATGTTCTGGTGACCAGTTCTTACGCCTTCGTCATCATGTTTTAGGTATCTTCTGATGACGATAAGATAGAGAACACTAAGCTTAACAAAAAGAAAAAGAAGAAAAACGCAAAGAAGAAAAAAGATGAGAAAAAGAAGAAGAACAACAAAAAGCAGAAGGTTATCTCCCTCACTCCCTTTTACCTTATCTCATCTTTCTACTTGCTTTTCGTTTTCCCGTCACAGATTTTTATAAAGTCTTTATACGTTACTTTCTGGATTCCGTTGCTCATATCTGTGTGTGGAAAACTTTTGTGAAAGCAACAGATCACGGTCGATGAAGATGCCAAGTTAAAGAAACCCAATAAGAAGTTGAAGCTTTAGTTTCCTTTTTCTGGCTATACATTAGTGGTCACATATTTGATGAAGACGGTTTAACAAGGACTTTAGAAGAACAAACTCAATCACTGGTATCTGTCTGATCCAAAGAATCTGTTAGTCCGATGGTTAGCTAAAGATTAGCATGATAATCTTTCTTCTTTATGTCAGTTAGATTTCTCCGGCTTTATTCGGTTAAATCTGAGACTGGAGTTGATTGTGGTTTTAGAACGAATAGCTTCATGGATCTGAAATTTGTATTTTGGTTAAAGATTAAATGCTTGTGTTGTTAGTTATGAGACCAGTTCCAATTAGTAATGATCTGCATAAGTTCATTGCAGGAACATTTTATCTAACAGAGCTCATGGGTATAAGTGTGTGTCCCTACGTCAAAGGGACAAGAGTAAACACAATAATTTTAATTCAGGGAGAGAACAAACAGAAACAGTAAATTACTAATTTTTTATGATTTTCTTAGATTCGTTAATTTCTTGTCTACATGATGAGTTTTGAATCTCTTTTTTTGTCGTCGTTTTTAAAAGTGTGTTTTTTTAGAGATTTTAAAGTTGCTGAGCGTAAAAAGAATTTACTGTTTAATTGTGAAAACAATGCAATTCTCCCATTTTGCTTTACACAAATTAAAGCCTCTATTTACAATTCACAGATCAGCCAGTACAAAAACACGTTTATTTTGTGTGTCAGGGAAAAATTGTGTGTTCTGCAATGTTTAAATCACAACAGGAAAAAAATCTATAAAGTGTTTTTTATTCATCCTATTGTTTAGTATACAAAATCACAATTACAATTTACTTAAAACATGATTACTTTGATTGCTAATATAGTTCAAGTACTCGAGCATATAATATATTATGGCGCAAATTAAAGATGTCATGGTCCGAGCTTTAACAAACAACAAAAAAGAAGTGTCAACAAAAAAAAGACACTAACAAAACAAAAAATGACCTCGCCGACATTTGGTAGATGAGGAGGATACGAATGTTATGGTCTAAAAAGATCTTTGGGTGAATAACACAAAATCTCTAAAAGCTGCTCACATGTGGCCAATACCTCCTCTCCAAGTCAAACCTTCTAATTCTATTTTTATTCATTTCCATAAATAAATAAATAAAGCATAAAAATAATTTGCCAAGCCTCTCATGAAACCATGTTTATAAATGCACTATGAATTGAACTAATTAATATACGTAGTATAATGATTTGGAATTTTGGTTATTCACATAATCACATCAATTGTTGTTTTCGATTTGTTTTTTTTTTTTTTTGATATTTTTTCTTAATCTAAAGTTGACCTACTGAGCCAAGTCGCCAAGTATGTGAAGACATCTTTCTTATTCTTTTGTCCAGCAGTTTAGCACACAGAGAATCTCAGCCGTCTGATATTCAGACCAATGCCCTTTATACCCGTTGGATTGATCAAAATACAGTGTCGCCTTTTTAAGTGATCTTAAAGTCAATACTTACTTTGCCCCAACACAATCCTCCATGCGGCTTAAATTCACGCGCTTCAATCATTAACCATAAACATATTTTTATTTGTTTTGGTTTTATACTCAACAAAATTCATTGTTTGTGACCTATACAGTACTTCTCCACATACCAAAAATGTAAAATCCAACTCTACAAATATAACGTGGGGGTGGGAAAAAACTCCCACAAAGTTATATCCGTTTTGACAAAAATAATTTGTACTACTAATGATGACCTTTGTAATCAATCATCCAAAGCATTAAATTTACAATCCGTAGTATACAATATGGTTTCTAGTGTGAAGTGACTCTTAAACGTTTGGTGTTGAGTGCGATTCACACTCTTTGCGTGAGCGTGCAAGAAAAATACTTTCCGTATTTATATCTACTCCTTCTCAACACGTGGAACTTCTTTATTTGTTGCAAAACAAATCAAGTTTTCTTATTTGCCTTAAAGTCTATATTGTGTTCCTTTGTATTTTGATTGTTTGCTATCTAAACTAGTATATTTAAGCTTAAGTCCAAATCAAGACAAACTATAAACAATTCAAAGATGATGTTTAATAAAACAGAATTAGTTTCCTTATTTTCATTTAGTTCAAAACCAAACAATGTGGTTAAGACCATCATCACACTCTCCGATTTTTCAAAACATAGTATATGTCGAAAGGTAACGTTTTTTTATTGTCCCTTCGTTTATTTTATTTTATCGATAATATTTTAATTTCTAACAGTTTTTGCATGCATGTAGATATGTTTTTTCCTTTGTTCGTATAGATATAGCATTTTCTGCCTTGTTTGGAACGTTCACAACTTCACATGTTAAATAAAAAATGAAACAGATTGTCAAGAACTAAATTATATCCTATCTTACGTATAGACAGGCTCAACAAACACAACTAGTCACAAAAAGCTTAGGCGTAGATAATTATAATATATCAAACCTAACAATATACTATACTCAGATGAGTCGAGGTCAACATTAATTAGCACAAAGATCTAACCATCATGTTCCGACCAGTGTAGTAGCGAGTAGCGACTAAACACTTTTTTTTTTTCCGTTTTCAGATAAGATTAAAAAATAATTAGCAGATGGAATGGTTAGTTGAGTAAACTGAAAATGTTAACATCAATTAATAATAACACATGAATTAATTTTGACAAAGAAATTGGCATATTGCTATATTTGCAACTTGAGCCGACACAATTTGTTTTCTTTGACTTATTAAATTTATTCTTATTATTATTATTTTTTACTCACTTTGACCTTTTTTTTCTTAAGATCTAAACAATTATTTGTATATTTTGTGTGTTTCTCCACGGACGAGTTTTCAAATGGTTAGTTTGTGAGCAGTGACAATTTTAATGCTCCCATAGATGCTTTAGACTTGTATATTTTTGGTCTTCCAGTAAAAAGTAAAATGTAGTTATAAAAGATTAAAATATATAATTAAAGATAGCAATTTAATATTAGTTTTCATCTGTGTATAATACTTTTACTTTCATTTGTTTCTCTAAATTTTTGAACTTCAAATAAAACGATTAAAAAGTGATAGAATTAGAGAAAACAAATTTTCCTTCTCTCTTTTAGAAGACATAAGTTTATATCTTGTCTCTCTTTTGGTTTTCTGATTGCATATTTATGTTCCTTACGCAGTTATTCTTGTTGTGAACACCTATGGTGATTGGTAGATTTTTCAGAATTCCATAAATAAGTCATAACTGTGGTAAGAAATTACAATAAACTCCAAAGAACGAAAATACTAGTAGTTGAGGTTCAAATGAAGCCCTAAAAGTACACACATAAATGAACAGTGATTGTTAATAAAAAAAAATTTCTTTTTTAGAATATTTAGATCATATGATGAAATTGTATATCATGACTAAATAGGTTTTTTTTTTTGACTAAATAGTTAAGCTATCTAATATTGTGCATCAAATAAATTTAGGAACAAACATAAAAATATTGTAGATCATTAGTTCCAATTGATAACATCATGATCTCGTATACTCGTATAGAAAAATAGAATTGAACGCTGAAATAAAACAAAAAAAACTATTTGAATTAATGAAAAACTTGGAACAATGCATATATAACTTAATCATGTAAAAGTAACGGAATCAATGAATATGATCGTCATTTCGAAGACATATGTCATTCAAGAATCAACCGTTAAACGAAAAGACAGATAATAACCGTTACAACTTTACAGATTACTTATATCACCGAAATACGATGTTACTTTTAATAATTATTCTAGAATAATTTATTAGTTAAACAGGTGTAAGCAAAATTAGGTTTAAAACGATTAATATACCCAAAAAAATAGTTTCCATCTCTTTTAGTATTTGCTTGTTAATCATGTAAAGTGACGGAATCGATGAATATGATCGTCAGTTTGAAAACATATGTAATTCAAAAACCAACCGTTAAACGAAAAGACGGAATATAGCCGTTACAGTTTTACAGATTACTTGTATCACCGAAATACGTAATTACTTTAATAATTCTTCTAGAATAATTTATTAGAACGTGTTTAAGCTAAATGAAATTTAGAACGATAAATATACCCAAAAAATATTTAATTTTTTTGAATTAATCATCAAATGAGTGATTTATGAACATGATTAAGAAAATATTGAAACAGAGAAAATCAATATAGATGGAAAAAGAGAAATAAAAGGCATTAAATTAAGAAAGAAGTCATTTATTCTATGTTTGGCGCGTATATTAACCACCACCGGCAAAACACCCACAAAAAAAGCGAGCACGCATAAAGAAAGATCAAAACTTCCCCATCCCTCTTCCAAAATCCATCCCTCAAAAAAAATAAAAAAAAATACTCCTTTCGAAATTTCGCAAAAAAAATCGAAGCCGAAAAAAAAAAAAAAGTTTCAGCTTTAAGGAAAGAGATCAAGCGACTGAGAGTGGTGTGGAGACAGAACCAACCACGATCTGTGGTTTTTTTTTTTTTTCTTCCTTTCTCCAATCTCAGGAAGAAAAAAAGTTTCTTCCCGACACTCCCATTTGATCGGAGAGCTCGACATTGGTGGGTTCTGTTTCGCCGCTCCGACTAAAGGTTAGGGTAAAACAAAAATGGAGCGGTACGGTGGCGCCGGAGAAGATGAGTCGCGGTCGGATCCATCACATGAATGGTCCGCTCCAGGAACCGAAACTGGTATTGAAGGTAACGTTGATAATGGGTTTCATACATTTTATTTCTCTCCTTCTTTCAATGTCTGATCTTACGGGCTTAAATCTACGATTAGCGTTTTCGTCAGAACTGAAACTGAAAGTGTTGGTTTTTTTTAAAAAAATGCGGTGTTTGTAGCTTCGATGTGGCGGTTAGGGTTGCGAGGCGCTGGAGGTGGAGGTGAATCGTTCCCGGAGCGACCCGATGAACCCGATTGTATCTATTTTTTACGAACCGGTGTTTGCGGGTACGGGTCTAGATGTCGGTTCAATCACCCACGAAACCGTGCTCCGGTAATAAACTCTCTCTCTCTCTCTCTCATCTCTCTGTTTTTCTGGGTTTTCTTTTTTCTTTTTGATAAAGTGACTGCCTTTTTTGTCTGCTTCCTATACGTTTTGATTTGATGGTGTCTTTGATGATGATAATGCGATGATTTAGATTATCAGATGCATTATTGAATCTACGATCTGTTATCACTGAAACAGAATCTTGGATTATTTTAATTTGTTTGGAAGCTCTCATTGGATGTTGTTAGTTTCGTTTTTTTAGGTCTTGGGAAGTCTCAGAACAGAAGCTGGAGAGTTCCCTGAGAGAATGGGACAGCCTGTGTGTCAGGTATTTGATTCATCGATTTATTGGTTCCTAAGTTAAGCAATGCACAAGACAATTCATCTTCTTTGTTCTGTGTTTAAGACACTGTGATTCAGTGTAGTCTTTTCTCATTTTGATGCTTTCTTGGCACAGCATTTTATGCGGACAGGAACATGTAAATTTGGTGCTTCTTGTAAGTATCACCATCCTAGACAAGGAGGAGGAGGAGGAGATTCTGTTACTCCTGTCTCACTAAATTACATGGGATTTCCATTACGCCCGGTTTGTTCAATCTCTCCGTGTTCTCGATTTCATCAGACTTTTTCTGGTTCCCTGTTGTGTATTGTTGTAATGAATGATCTCTCAAAAGTTTCCCTATAAATTGGATTTTGCAGGGGGAGAAAGAATGCTCCTATTTCATGAGAACCGGTCAGTGTAAATTCGGTTCCACCTGTCGATATCACCATCCCGTCCCTCCTGGTGTGCAAGCTGCATCGCAGCAGCAACAACAGTTATCTGCTGGTCCAACTATGTATCCATCGCTTCAGTCTCAATCCGTTCCTTCATCGCAGCAATACGGAGTAGTTCTAGCTAGACCTCAGATTTTACCTGGCTCCTATGTTCAAAGCCCTTATGGTTACGGTCAAATGGTTATTCCTCCCGGTATGGTTCCATACTCGGGCTGGAACCCTTACCAGGTAATGCTTGAAAGAAACCTTATTAACTTTTCTTTCTCTTGTCTTAGTAAACCTCATCCCAATTATTTAGGCTTCTGTAAGTGCCATACCTTCTCCTGGGACTCAACCGTCAATTGGAACCAGCTCTGTTTATGGAATTACGCCGTTATCTCCTTCAGCGCCTGCCTATCAATCCGGTCCATCTTCTACCGGTGTTACAAATAAGGAACAAACTTTTCCTCAGCGACCTGAACAACCCGAATGTCAATACTTTATGAGAACCGGAGATTGTAAATTCGGATCCTCATGCAGATTCCATCATCCTATGGAAGCAGCATCGCCCGAGGCAAGTACCCTCAGCCACATTGGCCTCCCACTTCGTCCCGTAAGTCTCATATATTAGCTTATACGCCATTAATCATAAAATTCTCATGATCAAGAGTAGAGTTTTAGTAATGACTAATGAGAAGTTCAAATGGAAAACTCTGTTTCTTGATGTGATTATGAAGCTCTGTTTTTTTTTTTTCTCACCCTCATTTACCCTCATTTGTTGCGCCACAGAAACAACTCCGTGGTAGATTTCTCATTATTTCAGACAAAGTTTTTTTGAAGTTTCATTCTTCTTTCTATACAATTATGCATCTAATAACAAAGAGAAAGCTAATAATAAATAATAACTTTTGCAGGGCGCAGTGCCATGCACTCACTTTGCGCAACACGGTATTTGCAAGTTTGGGCCTGCCTGCAAATTCGACCACTCCTTGGGCTCTTCTTCACTAAGCTACAGCCCATCCCCTTCTTCGCTCACGGACATGCCCGTCGCACCTTACCCTCTCGGGTCCTCCTCGCTCGGCACATTAGCTCCATCATCATCATCATCCTCATCTGACCAACGCACTGAGCTTCTCTCTTCCAGCTCTATTGAACCTATAACCACAGCAACAAGTGGCTCAGAAACTGTGGCTGCTGGAGTCTCTTCTTCTTCTTCTATGACCAGCGGTGTGAGCCATCCCGAGCCTGCTGAGACCAATAAAGGTGACTCAGCTAGCATTGAGGCTAAAACTTCAAGTTAAAGAGACAAATCTCAAAGGAGAGAAGAGAATCTCTCTCTAATCTTCATAGATTATTTATCTCTCTTATTCTCTCTTTCTCTCTTCTTCTTTTCATCAAACTTTCATGAACTCAGGAACATAAAAAGGATATTTTTTGGGCGGAGAGACAACAACAGGAAACAAAGCAGAGAGATAGACAAAAGGAGCTCTCTCTAGTCCTCTGTGTTATGTCTCTCCTCTTAGGTCTCTCTTACCATGTTCATATTATTCCTTCATACGGCCATCTCTCTGTCTTTTGTTGTTTTTTTCTTTTCTTTTTGGAAACGTTGATTAATAAAATGGCCTTATATATATTCACAACAATCATCTGATTACTTAGAATCCCCTGTTTATTTTTCAAAAGTTTTATGGAATATTGGAATTAACTAATTAAGAGTCCAATTTTTATACTTTGCTTGTGTATGTTTTCATGCTAAGACTTTATTTTATAGAAAATGTACAATATTTAAATGTTTTTATCAAACATGAAAAATAGTATCGCAATCTTAAATTTTAACTATAGATACAATATGTTAAATAGTAAACGCAAACGCAACATTCGTTTGAAACAATATATCAGATTCTAAAGATTTATTTGGAAGAGCAACAAGAAGAGGGAGAGCCTGAAGAAACAGAAAGCAGAACAACAGAACAGATCTTTAGGTTCTATTTTTGTTCTTCTTCTTCTACATTGATCAGCCCGTACGAATTTGATCATGAGCTATAAACGTAAATATAAATGAAAAGAAGTAAAAATAAATTTAAAAAACTACTGTTAATGTGGAAGTAGTAGTCAGTAATTCTCGTACTTGGTTCTTTGTGTTGGTGATATAACATGTGCATGTGTGGTTTGTTCGTTGCGTCTAGTTTTACTCAAACAACAGAAAAACCATAATCATGAGTTTGTTCACTGAAACATCACAACAAAAGTTCTCAACAACCCAAAAAAATTACTAATCATTATAAATGCTTTTTCTCTGAGTTACTTCTTAGATCTACCATAATTAATACAGTAGATTTCACAAAGTTATGGAGATATTAACGGATTGTCTTTTTCTTTTTAAAATTACAATATCGATTATAAATGTTCACATAATATGTACTCTATATTAGTTAATTGTTCTTATTTATTCGTATATTAAAATGTGAACTATTTGGAAGTAAAATTTTTTATCAAATATTGGGAAGTTATTTTGTTTGAAGCTAGACAAATTGTAAATATATGATGAATTCCAACGTCTATATGTTTGACAAGCTATGATTGGATCTTTGTTGATTTAATTTAACAACAGAACATAAACAAAAGTTGATCAACATTGGAAAAGGGACTAACTGAGTTTTATGAAAGAAAGTCAAAAACCTTAAACAGATTTAAAAATGAAATAAAGAGTTGTGATGTTGAGTTGTTGTAGACAAAAGTTAAGGCAAAATATAGGCAAAAGGAGGGAGACATGAAACAGTGATTGTGTAATGAAAGACCAAACAAGTCATGACCAAAACACATGTCCAAAGACCAAAAACACCATCATGCTACTTCACTAAAAGTCCATCTCACATTAACTAATATTTTTTTAATAACATGCAATATTTAATGACAAAATCTCCTATCTATAAGCTTAATTTTTGTAAAAAAATCATAACCAAAACTCTCACTAATTATGATTTGATTCAAATTTTCAAACTAATGTCAAAATTTATAACTGTCCTAAAATAGTCATAATATCTGATCACACACTGATCAAAATTAGAAAACTGGGGTATTTTGCATCCAATCTTATAATCCTAATACTGTGTTAACGTATGTATTAGTTGTTCACTCCTAGTCATTTATCCGTTTGGAGCAAGTCATTTGATTTCATTATTATACCACAACACTTATTATATACATAATGAGTGTGTTGGAAGTAGCGTGGACAAAAAGTGGTCTTTAATACAACTCGCATCATCCCTTTTGCTAATCAAAACCATAATACAAATTAAAAGAAAAAACAAACAAATCAAAACTTCATGGTAAGGTAACCTTATGGTGCATGAAACAAATAAGCAGGATTTAAATAATAAAGTCGGTAACATATAGCTAACAACAAAAATCAAACGACCATCGAATAACGTAAATACTAATAATATTATTGGATATATATAAAACAGAAATGTAATATAGAATATTCTAAAAGACTGAGTAGAAGCCTGTAGTGTCTGCAACAACATCTCCAAAAGCAGCGAGAGAAGGAGAAGATAAATCTTGCGGCTCCATTATCGCGTAATCGTCCATCGACATTGAAGCAGCAGCAGCACCATAGTTAGTGATCATGGCAGAGAGATCACACGAACCAAACTCATGATGATGATTCATCATCATCTCACCATCTTCGAAGTAGCTATTACTACACCCTCCGTATGATTCAGAGGCTTTGCTTGCTGCCGGAGTTGTGAAACTAACTCCGGCTAGATTTTGGGTGGTGGCGGCATCCGGAGGTGGTTTAAGGCAGTGGTTTGGAACAATGCAGTCCAAGTAACCCGAGTTGTTATTATGTTCTTCGCTTGTTAACGAGAAGAAGAAGTTGTTTTCTTCGTCTAGTGAAGAAGATAACGAGCCGTTAGAAGATGAGTTTTGAGGACTATTACCAAACGATTGAATATCCGCGCTTTGATGACGAACTGGCGTTTTGAAAGAAGCCGCAGGTAAGACAGTTTGGGGGAGAGTGTGTTTAGGTTGTTGTGGTTGATGATAGTTTTGATAATGAGGATGATGATCGATGACAAACTGTGGAGAAGAGTTTGGTAAGAGAGATTGGTTATTATTGTAAGGAGAGACAATGAGAGAGTGAAGATTAGGGTTTGTAAGGATGGTGTGAACATCAGTTGGAGTATAGACGAAGTTGGTTCGAGCTTGAGTGCCTCTCATTGAAAGAGCGGCTCTATCGTAGGCAAGAGCAGCTTCGTGAGCTGTGTCGAAAGTGCCGAGCCAGTGACGTTCTTTGGTGGTTGGATCTCTTATCTCGGCTGCGTAACGACCCCATGGACGTCTCCGGACTCCTAGGAACCTGCCTGGCTCCGCTTGCTTTGATCTCCGGCCTCTTCTCTCTCCCGTTGTGGTGGTGGTGGTTGTGTTGGTGGATGTGTTTTGGTGGATCAGAGCAAAACCCATTTGAGTTTGGGATGTCTCAAATGGTTTATTATGATCTAGGGTTTTGGAGGTTGACATGATGATGAAGAAATGGTTTTTTCGAAAGGAGGTTTCTTTTAGGGTTTTGGTTAAAGATGTGTTATGATGAGTAAGGTTTTTTTTTTTTGCCTTGCTTCTGTCTAAAGACGATGGTGCTGTTTGAAATGGAAGTGAAGTGTTGTTATAAATAGAGAGACAATGAGCTTGATAGAGAGAGAAGATAGAGAGACTTCACTTTTGATTCAACTGCTTTTAGTAGACCATCTTTTGTTTGTTTGTTTTTTTTTCTTTTACCAAAGATATTATATTTTGCATCAACGACAGAAAAATAAAAATAAACGTTGGCATATCAGTTGGATTTTTATATGGCTTAACCAGCTGAAATATATTCGTACAAATGTAAAACAGCTTAATTGACTGATTATTATTTAGTTTTTTTAAAACAGTCTTAATTTTAACTGTGTACAGTATATATATATATACGAATGGCTATGAAAGCCTAAAACAGAGGCCAAGAATCATTAGAACTATACTGCAAAATCTGGAATGTCACAGTAACCAATCTTGAGTTGGAAAAAAGAACAAGAAATAAATACATAATAAATAATAATAAAAATATTGGGAAAAGTAATTGTGATCAGTCCTGATTGTGATGTATATATTACATCATGCTATTTGAATCTTTTATTTCAATGAGATCAAGCTAATTGATTAACTCAAATAATCTACTTAGTGGTCACGTGCAACATGCATAATAACCCTACAAACCATAGCCTAAAGGTCAAGGGTCTACGTAAAAAGAATCGATTTTTCATTAGGTTAAATCCCTTACTTAATTGATAAATACTTGAGGTAATGTGCATTGCTAATTACGATAAGGATGTCTAATTAATCAATTTGAGTGCAGGTAGGTTCGATAATTTATTATCTAACAAAATATATCAACAGTTTGAAAAATATATATTTTAAAATCAGCAAGCTTTAATTTTCTCTTAATTAATACGTTTTTAAAAAATATGTTACATCGAATAAACAAGACATGAAAATTCGAGTTTTTTTCCTATCATATTTGATTTGGTTTAATTTGGTTAAACAAAAAAAGTGTTAGTTCTACAACCCCTGATCATATCACATGGTTACCCGCATTTTAAGCGGAAATAGAAATGAGAACAATTTTTTTTGTCATCTTGTAATAATTTTTCAATGGGAGTGGTTTAAAGAAAGACACGATGAACCAAACAAAAATTAAAATGCTTAGGAAGTACGTATAAATTTGGTTTTAATTATATCTCAGTGGACAATTTTGTATTGATGTCCTTGTATGCAAAGTTGCAAACAAGCACAAGTCAACAACAGTCTTAGTCTCTTTGTGTTTGTAGTATTGTAGGAATATTATATATATACATTGGAGCTTCGACTATTTTTCATATATGATTGCATTCGGAAGTTAATGCCTTACCCGACAACAGATATATTTGATGAAATCAAGAAAATTGTTCATAGTCAACCATAACACGACTGTTAACTAAGAGTTCCAAAAAAAAAACAGTTAACAATTCAAAAATGACTATGAGCTCTAACTTTGAACTTTGGATCATTTAGTTTAGAGACTTTAAATCAAACTTTCCACAAGAGTAAGCACACGTAGGTTTAAGTCATTGAGTATTTTAGATTGATTTTGTTATGTATATCAATATATCATGTTCGAAAAAATATATAGTTAATAGAACGTTGTAGTTAATGAGAGAGTACATATTTTCATTAACTAATTAGTCTTGAGAGGAATATACTTACATATAAAATCTTTCTTCTAGTAGAACTCAATAAAGGCAAACAGAGATAGATTTGGTGTGATAAGCTTTGATCTATATTAAAATCTTTTTGGTTAAGTGTTAGATAATCTTTAGTAGATCTTTGATGGTATTCAATGGATAAAAGGCTAATGCTCATATGGATAAGTTAGTACTTGTGTGAAGATTATTTTGATTCATATACAACGGAAATTCACACTTCTTCTGCTTATCAAAATTATCCTTGCCTGTGTTAGATGAACTTTTTTGTTTTGTTTTGTTAATACTGTCTATTAGAAATTTAGAACAGGTAAATGTTTATATTTCTATATACTATTGATTATGAGGGTATACTTACCAAACATCACGACCGCCTATGTTCATTCATTTCATTAGCCTTTACGTCCGTTTACGGTGTATATAGCAGACTTAGCAGTATAGGTCAATCCTCATATGATGTTGCATTCATGCATGATGCATTATTTCAAAAAGTTTAAAAGATTTTTAATTTCCTGCAAATAACTACGTAAGTTTTTACGGTGTTTTGTTTCATTTCTATGGTAATAAAAAATATTTATTGCGGATATACTATTTGTTAAATTGTTATAAAATCGAACATGTTTAACTGCAAAGATTTTTTAAAATAGACTAAAACTAAATGGTAACCGCTGAATCCGGCTGAATTGGGCTGAATTGCTGAATCTGGCTGAATATATTTGTGGTTTTTTGCTGAATCTAGCTGAATAATTTTAAGTTTAAATGGTAACCACTAAATCTAGCTGAATTTTTGAAAAGTAATAATATAATTAAATTTATAAAAATATTAATTAAAGAAATAATTGTTGTGGATAATATTAGTTAAATAAATATATGCAAATATTTAATTTGAAATTTTATTTTTAATAAGCTTACTAAACATAACTATCATATTAAAAAAATAAGCCATTATAATTATTTATTATTTGTTTAGTTTTTCTTAAAAATAAATTTAAAGTAAATATTTTGAAATACATTTTAGAAATTAACTAATAAGAGTGGATGTAATTAATTTTTGTTAAAAATATTAATATTATTTTTCAAATTTGATATACTAAGATATAATTAATTGCACATATCAGTTTATCCAAATATATAGTTTAAAGCAAACATATATAAACTATGAACTATAAGCGTGGATGAACTCTTACCCAAATATTTTTCTTTGATTTCTTTACTAAATTTAGGATGGTTGATGTTTAAAAGAGAAATTCTAATAGAGAAATATAAAAAAAATTCAAATCCATATAATTCACCCATTTTTACATTTTTTTGGTAAAAAAAGAATAAAATTAGATTAATTCAGTAAATAAAGGAATGGAGTAGGACCCCTATTACCAAATAACAAAAATTCCACCGAGATTTCCTCACCAATTCTTCAAATATGAATGATGTAACATTTGAGGAATTCCACAGTAATTCCACAACAATTCCACAATTGTATGTTACCATTTACAGCCTAAATATACCATGTATGGATTCCCCACTACGTATTTTTTTTGTATTTTGTAATATTCACACCGTGCACTCGCGCAGATAAAAGAAGAGTGTTACTCAATTTTACTTATTACCAAGGTTTCTATATTTTGACATTTTATCATATTTTCTACTGAAAAGGTATACTTGTAGCCATAATACTAAACTCTTTCTTTTGCTTCTCTTTTTTTTTTTTTTGGCTTTCGTCTCCTTTTAATGTCATATAAGCCACGTAAACCAACAATCAAATTAATTAGATTTGAACGAAGACCTTGCCTTTTTAACCGAATGTGCTACGGTACAAAAGTGTGATGGACTCCTTGTATTAAGGGTTGGAAATGTGACGATTCTTCGTAAAGCTTTTTGCACATTGCTTAATGGTGGCATTGGGAATGAAAATTATAATTCTTTTTCATAGTAGAAATGAGTCAAACTAATAATATAATATACAACAGTAATACAATTGTGGTCGGACCACGGTAGTCATCGTCTTCTTATGCAACCGTTCCCGATCTTAGCGATACAATTTACCAAACACACCACAAATGTTGTGCGCCAGATATGACACAACACCACTGAAGTTTTATCAAAATAAATAGTTTACTTAAATTGATTTCGGATTATTAGGGCGAGATATAGAGTAGTACTGTAGTAGTACTATATAACTAATCAATTGTATAGGTAGGAATGTTTGTATCAAAACTGCAGGCAAATTTTACAGAACTTTAATTCGTGTCCGGATATTACATAGAGTTCTAAAATGTAATGATTAGAATAAAGTAATAAATGTTTAATTGGATGAATTTATTAATATTGTCATCCCTTTTAAGAATTGGGGTTATTAAAGACAAGCTTAAGCTATATAAGAATCAGACGATCCTTGACTACTCCACTCAGATTTTGAACTTGATGTGGGACTAACCTTACATTTGACTATTTTCCCGTGTACAATAATTTTTTTTTCTACGTATTATTATCACTGAAATTATAATCAGTGATAATGTAATTTGATCAACCATAATTAACTACATATTCACTTTTTATGGTCATCCACATCCTACTGTAGTTTTTCTTAAATATGTTAATTTATCTAGACCTAGATTCATTATATTTATATAAAGACGAAGATATTCTCTTATAAAAGTGATATCATTTTGTCAAAATATTTCATCAATTAAATTGAAATGAAAAATTGATATAATTTTGTCGAAATGTTTTGGAGTATTTTTTTAAATGTGTTTTGTATACACAACATATGTATAATGAGTATAATTCATAGCAACTAGTAATACATAAATTTTTGGTATTTATGCTTCACTGTTATATTTCATCAAACCTTTGAAAAGAATTATGAATAATAAAGTTATGAGTTTACAAAATAACACTATCCCATTGGTTAAGTGGTTATAGTTCAATGGGCTAGTTCAATAGTTTTGTTATGGTGCACGAGATTTGTTTACCTACATTTGGTATGATTAATATAGAACTTAATGGTTGAAAGATTTATAGTTATTAATCTGAATTTTCCCTACCAAAACTCGGAGAAGCCAAATTAATCAAACTACTGTAACTTTATTCGTGTTTTCAAAAAATGGGTAAATAATTTAAGATAACATGTGATAATCCCAATTGGCTTTGTGCACGATATTGGGATTGCACTATTGAAGTATTGAACACTTTTGGGTGGAAATCTTTTAGTCAAGTTCCATGTGATCGAGGCTTTCTTGGGTTTATGAATGGAGAATTTCTTCACATTTCTCCAAAAAAAGGCAAAGGAAATATACAGAAAATTTTGAACAGCTAATAAAAAAGCCAAAACTTTTTTCTTGTGAAATTTAATAAATTTGTTGTGTGATTTAAAATTTTCTTTTGTGTCAAAAGGACATCCCCGGGATTTAGGGGTAAAGGTTGTCTTAGAACAAACTTGGACTTTGACGAGAGTCCAGACAGTGTGACCAAAAAGCCAAGTGGGGGCTTCACTATTAATTTGCTATTGAATTACATATATTTCAGACAATATAAGGTCATGAAGATTCAAATTAATTAGTATCAATAGTTATTTTTACTAAATTCGTTTATATTAACAACCGTACTGTAATGTTTTTTAATGATTTTTTCATATAAAGAAAGTGTAAATTAAGAATGATGATATTCCTATAATCCTATTTAACGATTTCGATTTTTATGTTTAATGGTTTGATGTCTTTCGGTATT